AACGCTGAAAAATAATGGTTTCCAAACAAGAATACTGTATCCAGCAAAATTAAGCTTCAGATTTGACAATGAAATTAAAATCTTTCACGATAAACCATGCGACTGGGCAGCTGGAGACCGCCTGCCTGCCGGCGACAAACCGCACTACTAGGCGGCTAGAGATCGCCCGCCCACCAGCAACAGCAGCCCGTTGCTGCTGCGACTGGGCAACTGGAGACCGCAAGCCGTCAGGCGACTAATCGCCTGCAGGCTGCCAGCACGACTGGGCAGCTGGAGACCGCCCAGCCGCCGGCATCCGGGAGCTGAAACCAACCAGAGACAGCCCAGTCCCACCCCTCCATTCGGACACCCCAGTAAGGAGCCTGGGGCCCGCCATAGGAGAGAGGTGATGTCACTGGAGCTCGACCTTCGGAATTCCTTCCCAAAGGAATCCACTTTAGCAAGCAGAGTCTACCAACACAAAGGAGAGACAACAGAGATAAAAAACCAAAACAAATTTATAGAAGAGAGCAAAAACACAGCAATCAAATAGAGCTGGAAAGTAGCGTGAACATCATGAAAAAACAAGGGAAAAAGGAGTACAAACAATGCAGGACAACTTAATTCTACAGGAGGACCTAGAAGCATCAGAAACAGTGATAGGGAAAGAACTCAAGGCATACCTAACTCAGAAGGAAAGGAATATTAGAGAAGACATGAGACAGCAAGTCAAAACAATAAAAGTATATTAAACAAACAAACTCAAATGGCAAAGAACGAGCTTTACCAGGAGATAGAGATCTTTAAAAAAAACAGTAATCCTAGAAATGCAGGAAACTATAAACCAAATTAAGAACTCAAACAAGAATATTACAAAGAGACTAGATCAAGTAGAAGTCAGAATATCAGATAATGAAGACAAAGTTTATCAACTTGAAGAGAATATAGTAAACACAGAAAAGATGCTTAAATCCCACAAGCAATCTATTCAAGAAATATGGAATGTCATAAAAAAACCAAATTTGAGAGTCATCAGGATAGAAGAAGGCAAAGAGAATCAAACCAAAGGAATGGACAACCATTAAATAAAATAATTCTAGAAAACTTCCCAGAGATGAAAGATGGAATGGATTGCCAAATCCTGGAAGCCTACAGGACCCTAAACATTCAAAATCGTAATAGACCAACTCCAAGACATATAATTATGAAGACAGCCAACATACACAACAAGGAGAGAATATTAAAAGCTACGAGAGAAAGGAGGCAGATTACATTCAGGGGTAAACCAATTAGGTTAACGACTGGTTTTCCATCACAGACTTTAAAAGCGAGAAGATCCTGGAACAATGTATTTCAAACGCTGAAAAATAATGGTTTCCAA